GAAGAGGGTTACTGCTGGTTGCTGGTTGCTTGCTGCCCTCCTGGCTCCTGGCTTCTGCCTTCTGCCTGCCATGAGCTGTCTGTCCTCTGCGATGCCCCTCTGCCATGCCATCCTGCCTGGGAGCCAGCCAATCATGAACCGCACCCTCTACACACTGTAAGTTACAATAAACTTTTCCTCCTTTTAACTTTCAATGTTGGATATATATATATGTTTTTTGAGACAGGATCTCACTGTGTACTTCAGACTGATCTTGAACTCACTATGTAGCACAGGCTGACTTTAATGTTTTTTTTTTTTTTAATCAGTACTGGGGATCAAACTCACAACCACACGCTTGCAAGGCAGGCACTTATGCCACTGAGCTAAATCCCCAGCCCCAACACAGGCTGACTTTAAACTCACAGCAATCCTCCTGCTCAGCCTCCCAAGTGCTTGGATATTTTGTCTCAGCAATGAGAAAAGTAACTAAGATAATAGCCATTCTTTCTAGAGTAAGATGGTGTCTTAGCATTGTTTTAATTACTTTAATGGCAGGTGCCAAACAGATGTTATTAAACACTTTTTCATATATTGGCTGACCATTTGTATTTCTTCTTCTATGAATTATCTGTTATTTCTTTTGCCCCCCCCCCTTTTTTTTAGTTCTTTGAATATTGTGGATATTAGTCCTCTGCCTGAATACAGCTGGCAAAAAATTTTCCCTTTATGAAGGTTGTTTCTTTATTCTACTGTTTGACTCTTGCTGTACAGAAGCTTTTTGGTCTGATATAATCACATCCGTTGGTTTTGGCTGTTATTTTATGTTCAGTCAAGATTCTGTTTAGAAAATCCTTTCCAACATCTATGTCTTTAAAAGTTTTACCTATTTTATCATCCCTGTAGATTTAATGTCTCTGTTTAGATCTTTGATATATTTTCATATTAATTTAGTATATGGTGAGAGATAAGGTCCAGTTTCAATCTTCTGCAACCAGATAACCACTTTCCACAGCACCACTTGTTGAATAGGCTGTTCCCCTCCAATACATACATGCCTTCGACGTGTTGGTCAAATATCAAACAGTTAAATGTGTCTGGTGAAGTTTCTGTACCCTCACTTCTGTTCCATGTATTGATTGACCCAGGTACCTGTTTTTGTGCCAATGCCATGCTGTTTTTATCATTGTTGCTTTGTAGTATAGCTTGAAATCAAGTATTTCTATTCTTCCTGCTTCACTTTGTTACCTGAAATTGTTTTTGCTATTCTGGATCTCTCCTGGTTCCATATTAATTTTAAGGTTGTTTTCAGTGGATCTATAAGGCATGTGGTTGATATTTTGACTGAGAATGCATTGAATCTACATAACACTTTTGGGAATATGACCATTTTGACAATAATGTTTGGCCTATTCAGGAGCAGCAGACATCTTTCCATTTTCTGATACCTTCTTCAATATCCTATTTTTTAGTGTACTATAATTTTCTCTATAAAGGTCATTTACTTCCTTGGTTAGGTGGATTCCTTGGTACTTCATTTTTCTTTAAGCTACTGGGAATGATGTTATTTTCTTAATTTCCTTCTTATCCAGTTTATTATTGATGTACATAAATGATAGCCTTTATTTATTTATTTATTGTCTTTTTGAATTAGGGTCTCACTATGCAGTTCAGGCTGGCCTGAAACTCATTTTGTAGCCCAGGCTGTCCTCAAACTTGCAGTGATCCTCCTGCCTCAGCCTCCTGAGTGCTGGGATTACAGGCATGTGCTACCATACCTGGCTTTGTGTGTTGATCTCATATTGTACTACATTGATGAATTGGGTTATTCTAAGACTTTTTTGATGGAGTTATTTGGGTTTTCTGCTTATAGTATCCTGTTTTATGTAAATAGTGACAATTTGAGTATATATATGTATATATATATATATATATATATATATATATATATACCTTTTATTTCTTTGTCTTGCCTTATTGCTTTGGTTAATGTTTCAAGTACTCTGTTGAATAGAAGGGGTGATAGTAGACATCCTTATCTTGTTCCTGATTTTAGAGTGAATACGTTGAGTCTTTCCCCACTTAGTATGGCATTTGGTTTGTCATAAATAGCTTTTATCTTATTCATATAGGATCCTTCTATGCTGTTTTATTAGAAGTGATATTTCTAGTCCAATTTCTCAGCAAGGAATTAAGTTCTCTTAACAAAATTCTTCACTGGTTCCCAGGGCAGTTTATTTTCAATGTTTTTATAAGCTGGAGAATGCCAGTTAAAATATATTTATCATAAATTTCACTGATTAAGAAATAAGATAGGAGTCAGAGGTCTGTGTTCCACGAGACTGTACAAGGGAGTTGAGTTTTGAAACATTCATTTGGGAGACAGAGCAGAATGAGGAAGCACAGATGTGGAATGGAAACCAGGAGACATGAGAAAAGAAGAGGTCGTCTGGAGAGGCCTTAGCTAGTGTAACAGGTAACCTGTCAAGAAGGTCAGAGCTTCTCCAGTTGGGCCCAGCGTCTTCTTAAACTAGGGATCTCAGTTAACCTGATCCAGAGAGGGGCTGGAATAATTGGAAATCTTTAAGGTAGAAAAATTAAACATACACATTCTCTTTTGATGTCTTTGCCTTTCTCTGCCAGTCTCCTAAAATCTATTTGTTTTACTAATAGAGGCTGAATGAAGGACTTAGAACGTCCCTATAATAACAATATCTTTTGATTTGCTTTCTAGTGCCTAGAACAGACTAAGACCCAAGGAGGTGCCCTTAATTCCACCCAAAATAATAATTGCCTCAAATGCAAAGCCATAAAGGAGGTAAGCAACACCCATGAGTTTCAATCAAAATAATCAGTTACTTGACTACTAAAAGAGAGGAAAAGATATTGAAAGGGTGAATTGAGGCTACAGAAGATAGATCTTCCTGCCATATGCTTTCAGACCATGGAAGGGGACCTTGGAAGGTGTGCACATGTGGCCTGCCATGCTTCTGAAAGCACATATGTCATATCACTGAGGGCAATGTTATTTCATGTGGCTGATTTCACCTGCAGGAGTCTTCTCCTCAGATAGGGATAAGTATTGGTGGTTGTGACTAGAATTCCCCCCATGCTAACTAGGTGGATGCTGTCTGACTCATCATGATAGTACTCAGTCATATAGGGAGGGCCTAAATGACTGTCTGATTTGAGCAAATCACTTACAGTTATGGGTATGTCCTTTCCCTTCTCTGTGGAATAAAGAAATTGAATTAGAAGGATCCTTTCTAGTCTCAAAGCCTGTGCCTTCTACTGATAAAAGGTGCATAGAAACCCTTACAAACATGTAGATAAGTCCAGAAACAAAGCTGAATGGTTTGTTTAAAGAAACATCCTGCAATGAATTGAAGTACAAATAGCAGACCATTGAGGACTTTTAAATGTGTTATCAGAACCAGGGGCTAAATGCTTAGATCCAAAAAAAATATTTTCTTCTTCCATTTGTTGTGTTCCCTCATTCTCTAGGGAAAGTAATTACTATTAGGAGGAATAAATATTTATCATTGCCATGCGTTGTGTGGTATGAGGTGACTGGCTTTCTCAGTGGATTTTTAATCCAGGTGAGAGCACATTGCAAATGATCTATGAAATGGCAATCTATAAGCAGTTGGAAAGTGTCAGAGACTCTTGAGTGGAATGAATTTGAATAAATTTCTAATTACAGATTGTTTTTACAATCTACTATGCTATATCTTCACGTTGAGATTGATTTTTCTCTTTTTAAATTGATGTATGAAACCCCAAAGGAAATTGACTGAAAAATATTGTACTGAACCAAACTTCAGTCCAAAGTGAGAGACTTTGGTAAAATCCTTAACTTGGTCAGAATCTAGGACTCTAATAGAGGGAATTCCAGAGTTGAAAGGATAAGGGAAAGGTACAGAATCTGGCTGGTATGGTGCAAAAATTTGAGAATATTTGTTTGCCTGGTCCCTCATATCAAAAATAGTCTATAGCAAATTGACTGCCTACAGGTCAAATCTGGCCCTTTGCCTGTTTTGTAAATAAAGTTTTATTGGAATGCAGCCACATGTGTGTTTGTTTTCCTTCTATATCAATAGAATTCAATATTATAACAGAAACCATATGACTTGCAAACCTAAAATATTTACCATCCAATCCTTTACAGAAAAAGTTTGCTGGTTTTCTGTCAATAATGAGTTATACTGAGAGCCTTCCACATGCTCAGTAAGCATCTAGTCTGTGCACACTGTAAATACACACTAGATTAGAAGAGGTGACAAAATATGAAGTTCAATTTCTATCCCCAGGAAATTTAAAATCTGGTTGAGGAGGCAAAGACTAACATACAATAAAAGAAAATATGTAATCAAAGGTTTAATGTGATGTGGATTCAGTAGCTGAATTTGGAGAATGGAGGAGGGAGGCCATAGTAGATGGAGAAAGCAATATTTAACATGGTAAAGTGCCAGGGCACCAATAGCATGGTCTTCCCTGGAGATTCACTGTAACTGGATTTAACCTGCATTTCTATGCGAGTGTCATTTAAGCCACTGATATTTTTGGTATTTTGCTTAGAGGATACTTTAGTAACTAGAGATATTACTGAATAATTTTAGCTGACTAGTTTTTCTGAGATTTGGGATTCCTTCAAGCTCCCTAAACCACAGAGAATTTAATCTAGTCACAGTGGCAGAATGTCTGTCTTTTTCTAAGACAATATAGCATAGTGATAAAGAGCGTGAACATTGGATTCAGAGGGACCCCAGCCTCGATCTTGGCTCTATCTCCTCTGATCTGTGTGACCTTAAAGGAGTGTTTTTGCAAAACTGCAGGCTTCAGTTTCTTTGCTTATGAAATTCAGTCACATCATCCTTTCAGGTTATTATGCTAACTAATAATGTAATGCCTGTGAAGAATCTGGAATATAAAGTACCCGGTACAAAGGTAGGTCTCCAAGAAGGCTTAGTCATCGACCATTGTTCTGTACTACAGGAAGATTTATATCCTGTACAAGAGGGTCAGATTTACCTACAGAACAAAAATTAGTACTTTATTTGTATAGTAACAAGATATACTCATGTAAAGTACAGAATTATTGCTCTCTGTTTTAGTTCTCTAAAGGTCATGATTTTTAATTTCCAAGATTATCACCTTGCCAGACCCCGATTATACTTCCATCATGTCCTTGGCCATCTTGGGACAAGGAACACTGTTTTTTAAAAAATGAAAATAGAGATCTGAGTTGCTGCAGATACTGGTGTTTTCCAGAGCTGCCTGAAGTGACTGTTGGAGGAAAGGCTGGCTGGCAGTGGTCATAGCCTTTGGGTTGGGAGACAGGCTTTTCCTCCGTCTCTGTGGTTGTGGCAGAAATCATGCAGAGACCAGGCCAGTTCTTATCTGTAATAAATAGATAATAACATTTATTTCTGTGACTGCTGTGAATATTGCTGAAAGAGCTCTTTGAAATACTTTAAGTGTTTTGATATAATCATAAAATATGAGGCTTTAAAAGCAATCTCTGAGAGTCCATAGAAGGTTCTTTTTTCTTTGTGGTTAATGTCTGATGCTAGCATTGTTTTCTGTTTTTCCTTGAGGCAATTTGAAGATTAAAGGGCAGGGTGTTTCCCACATTTCCTGTTGGTAATAACAGCCCTTCCCTGTGCTTTGACCTTCACCGCTGTTGTGAGACTCCTAGGAGCAGTGACCACGACTCTAGCCAACCAGGCTCGCGTCACTAATAGGGTTGCTGTCTCTCAGAGCCTTAGCCTTCGTGATTAAGAGCCACAAACACTGAAACCATTGTTTGGTTTCATTTTCTTTTATTAAGAATAACACAAACTTACAAAAGAAAACAAGAAACTGTCTGAAAAGCAGACTCTTCAAAAACCCAAATAAACCATTTAGTATACACTGCGAGAGCTCTTCTAACACAGCAATTCATGTCTCCCCACTTCTCTATGAGGTAGGTAGCAAATTGTGGTGTATTTATTTTTCAGCTACTGCTATATTTAATCATTTGTTCACCAACACTTATTTATTGAGCTCTTATAGAAGAATGGGCACTGGCAATTCTTCAGAGAACAGGACAGCACATTCCCTAACCTTCTTAGAACTTAAAATCTTGCTGGGAAAATTAATGTATGAACAGTTGGTTACAACAAAGTGTCTGAGAACTGTGGGAAACATTTGGGATCCTCTGAGAAAATGGCAGAGGCGAAAAAGAGACTCTAGTTTCTCTCACTGAGTTACCAAACATAACCAGGGAAATCACTATACATCTTGTCTTTGTGCCCAGAGCAGAGTGTAATGGCCCTAAGAGTCAGAGGCTAGTCCTTGTTATTCTTGAATGTTAGGCTTTTTTTTTTTTTTTTTTTTTTTTTTTTTTTTTTTGTGGTGGTTTGAGTTTTAGTACTTACAGAGGGCTGGAAACTTGTCTGAGTAAAGTCACAGGTATCACCCTAAGGCTACCTTGGTCCCCACTGGCAATGGAACACTTCAGACTAGGGAAGACACTCCCAAGAGCACCTAAAACTCCTGCTCTGGAACTTCGGGGTTGTTAGCCTACATCTTCACCTGTATGAAGAGTATGTACTTCAACTACCAGAGATCTCACTTGCTTAACCTCCTTGAAGTTTCCTCTCTAGGAGAACAGACTAAATTTTTTACTTGTTTAAACTTGTCACTGTGAGGCAGGAGAGACCAGATCAATCAATAAAAGGGCTAATGGGCCAGTCAGTGGGTCTCTTGTTCCCTCTGCCCCTTCCCCAAATCTGAGGGTCATTCTCAAAGTGGATTGAAAAGGCGTATGTCAGGATAAATGCATTTTGCCTTCCTCTTCCCAAGGAGCTGCACAATTTTTCTTCCTTTTTGCAGCTCACAAAACAAGATAGTCTTAGTTTATTACTGAATCAAGATCTCTTTACCAGAGACTGAAAAATCCAGGGGAAGGCTGGATAAAGCCCATGTGCAGATTCCAGTAGCCCCCTCTTTGCCTGGCCTGAGATTGGGGTGGGGAAGAAGCATGGTGACTCCACAACTCAAGCTAGAATTGTGGTCAACGTACGTGGTTCCAGTCATGTTTTTGAACAAAAGAAACTGAAGTCTAGAGAAGTGGTTTTCAGATGATCACATCAGTTTGAAGAGTACCTGGAGCTAAAGTTCTGAGTTCTGGCCACACATTAGAAGGGCTAGATGGAATTTTTAAAGAAGCACACTGATCTGGGCTTGCACTGAGAAGTCTATCAAACTCTGAGGTTAGATCCAGCTAAACTTGCTCAGAGCGATTCTAAGTGCAGCCACTGGACAATATGCTTGACCACTTCTGTGCCAGCAACCAGCTTTCTGGCTCAAATCTGGCTTAGCTGTTACGGGGAACTGGGCAGTTCCCACACCTGTACAAAACCTCCATTTCCTCCTCTGTCAGATGAAGTCACTAACAAGTCCTGTTTTGTAGGGTGGTTATTGAGGATTAAGAAACTGCAAGTAGCCAGGTGGGAAGGCACATGCCTGTAATTCCAGCATTCTGAGAGGCGGAGATAAGAGGATTGTATGTTTGTGCCCAGCCTGGACCACTTTGTGACTTAGTGAGTCCCTGTCTTAAAATAAAATTTAAAAAGGGGCCTGGGGATGTAGCTCAGTGGGAAGGTCCTTAGTATAATCCCCAGTGCCACGAAAGGAAGGAAAGACTGGAGGAAAAAAGGAAGGAAGGAAAGAAAATGCAAACAAACCATGAGGGACATATCAAGCCATTAATACAAATAACTGACTTTATAATTTGGTAATGACAGACAGAACTGGACTTCAGGCCTCCTGAGGTTGTGGTTGGGAAATGACCAGGCACTTTCCATCTGATTGTTCATCATAGCCTATGGTGATCAATTCAGTGGAAAATGAGGCAGTCTGTCCTTCAAAAGATGAATAACCTTGTTTCTTAAATAAAAAAGATCTTACCTTCTGTTGAGGCTCCTAAAACTTCACCCTGGTTCAGTGTCTTCTGCTTGATATTATTCATTTATTTGATCATTAATTGGTTCTTTGACTTGACAAAAATTTATTGAGTGCTTATGAGATTCCAGACTTTCTAAATATAACCAGTATGACAAAAATAAATGCAGACCCTCCTTTCTACAATCTTAAAGGCGAATAAAAGAGAGCAGGGTTGTAGCTCAGCGGTAAAGTACTTCCATAACATGCAGTGTGCTGCGCCTGGTGGCACCAATAACACAAAGCTTAATTGAGGACAGGAACTAAAGCTATTGTGCGATGTGTTTATCATAATAGTAAGTGTGTCTTATTCATTTTTGTTAGTTCAAGTTTGCAGTACACAATGATCACATTCATCGTGGAGAATTTTCATTCTTTTATTTTTTGTCCCCATTCCCTTCCTTCCCTCCAACCCTTCTTCCTCTCCCCACTTGTGAAAGCTCTATTACGATAGTAAGTTTGTTTTAAAGATTATAAGAACAGTATCTCATCTTCCAGCCAAGAACAGTGACCAAACACTCTTACAGTTTTGGTAATGCCTAGATTGCCAACTGGTGTTTTACCTCTAAGCATTCTGAGTTAATAGATAATGGAACATGACTTAGGCCTGGAGATTGTTTTTAAAGCTCCCAGTGATTATAATGTACAGTGAAATCTGGAACCACTGACTTATTTGTTTCCCACTTATTAAGGGTACCTCTGGGGGCCTCGGTTGGATTTTGGAAATTTGAAGGTATTCTTTAGGGAATGGGGAGTACAATGGAAGATTTTTTTTTAAGGAACATAACATCTAAGTTTCAGAATGATGATACTGGCTGTAATACAGAAAATGAGTGGGCTGCAGACGGAGCAGTCCGTTATGGAAGAACAGGGCCTGACTTTCAAGGGAGGGATAGCGGTGGGAGCCTGATGCTACATAACAGCAGGATTCCTAGCACATAGGGGACAAAAATGGCATAAAGGCAGATAAAATCCTCTGCTTTTTCTGGTTCTCAGCTTTGAAATTTTATTGCTGCCTCCTTCGTAAACATCCAAGGAGACCTGGTTATTCTTACAAAGTTGGCCACCCCTACAAGAACTCTCAAGCATTTATGGGTTTCAGAATGACACAGAAATGAATTATCACCCTTAAAAATAAAAAGATAGAGTTTGCTGTTATAATTTCCCTGTTAATTTTGGTAGTGTAGTTCATAAAGCTCCCACATAGATTTTTCAAAAGAAAAGGAGAAGAAAGGATGGTCTGGCCACCTAGATTTATCCGATCACCTGGATAATTGCCAACGATCCACTTAACATCGTGATAGGAAGATAGTTTCAGTCACTGCATCTTTTTCCTATCCTCCTTCCCCCTTATATAATGCTTCTACTAATCAAAACATTTTTACTGTTATTGGTTCTGTGGCACTCTTATGGCTGTGGTGGTAAGATGATTGGGTTCCATTTGCCGTGTGTTCCATCAAGTTCCATTTTCAGTGGAGCCCTAATGCCAGACACAGCATTATTAGTGAGGAGGTGCTTTGGCTCAAAGGTGTAGCACAACAAATTAGAAACATCATCATTGGCCTTCTACACTGACTCAACGTGATATTATGTTCTGTACCAAACTGATGTTCTGAATATTTGTGCAACCCTGTAAAATATAACAACCTTTCTAAGCTCAAAGCCATACAAAAATAGGCCAGTGGCCAGAGTTAGCAGACTTCTGGTCTAAGTAATGGATACAACCATAAATCAATCCCTGGTGTGTAGCATTTGCTGACCTCTGGCTTGCAAATACGCTTACTATGACTCTGTTTCAAAAGACCAACAGAAACGTCACTGCATGTGGGGTCAGGAAGAGATGTGCAATAGCAAACCATTATATAATATTTTTACCTATTGATAGAGACTAGATGTAAAAAAGCTCTGAGAACGAAGATGATGGTCAAACGTAGTGAGATAATCAGTGATGAGTTTTTGAGTAGCTCTTCCTCTTGTTTCTGATGTAATTCATTTAACTGTAAGTTTATATAATTTAGTTTTCATACTGGCTATGTTTAACAATTGGCTCACAGAATCTCTGAAGATTTAGCAATCTTCTCTCACAAGCTAGTCTAAGCTGGCATCAGCACACTACTGTTAGAAAAGGGAAGTTGGAATGTGGACAGAGAGTTGGGATCAAAGCAAAGAAAGGAGGATAGGTGAAGCTCATGGCTGTGGCTAAGCTCTTGGTCCATCACTTGACGTGTGGCCAAGCACGGGCATTGCACAAGACAGCAACTGATGCTGCACGGCTCATTTGGACTCTCTACCTTAATAAGCACAATTCAACTGGCTGGAGAAGAAAACTTAGTTCAGTTAGCCAGTACCTGGCAGGGACAGAGAACTTGATTTGATATATGGTAAATCTGACTTTAAAAATTCAGCACTCAAAATTTTTACCTCGGTGCTGTTACGATAAAATGAAAGACAGAAGCGGTCCCCCCTCTTTCTGTAATGGTGGGATTTCTTTCCTAGTTTGGCTCTCTTACACACTTACAAATAAGTGAAACTAGCTGAAGCAGTAGTTTCAAATCCTTATGTTTGATTTTTGTTTGTTTGTTTATTGGAAATAGGGAATGAATTTAGGGCTCTCTCAGTGAGCTATAATCCCCAATCTTTTTTTTTTCTTTTTTGAGACATGGTCAGTAAGTTCCTAAATTGCCAGGAAGTTGTGATTCTGCCTCACCTCCCATAGTGCTGGAATTACAGGTGTGTGCCACCCCACCTAGCTCCAAGTCTCTAAGTTTTTACAAAGTAGAGCCCTCTCTTAAACATTTTCTAACTAGGGGGTAACATGCATCACTCTTCCCTACTTAGGGCAGCAGAGCAGAATCCAGAGTGTATCTCTAGAATGTACTTTGGGTCTAGATTCTGCCCATTCTCATGTGCCTCAGGGAATGGAGGGAGATAGTTTTATAAGTAGCAAAGAGATAGGGAAAGCCAGAGTTGAGATGGTTGGAAATCAGAAAGGGAACCTAGGACCAGACATGTAAAGTACTTGCCTAGCATGTGTGAGGTTTTGGGTTTGCTCTATAGCACTGCAAAAATAAAAAGAAAAGAAAAAATGGGATCCTGTTGGTTTCTACAACATGGCATTTTTGTGAGGGAAGATGATTAACTATAGCATCACTTGAACTGCTCACAGACCGATTTAATGTACAGGGCCTATCACAGGTTAAACATTATTTAATATGAAATGTGTTCTTAAATGTATTTATTGTTCATCATTTAGTGGTATTTTTAAGATATTAAAGATAGAGTGGTTTTACATTTCTAGTTATTTGTTAAATTCTTAAGCTTTCTACAGGGATGAAATATTTATTAAATTTCACTTTATGTTACTTGTGCCTTGAATAGAAAGAGTAATCTTTAAAATCATGTAAAAGACAAAACAGCATATGATTCTTTCAAAGGCCTCTCTCTCTGTCACACACACACACACACACACACACACACACACACACACACACACTTTCTTCTTTTGAAAGCTGAATGAAAGCAGGATTAGGTTCCAACCAGCACATGCCCTTTGTTGGACATCACTAGCAATTATATGTCGGGCACAATGCCCCTTGCTACTCAGGAAGCTTGAGGCAGGACAATAACTTGAACTCAGGAAACATAGTGAGACCCTGTCTCAAAAAAAATATGGTAGGGGCTGGGGATTTAGCTCAGCGGCATAAGCTCCTTCCTTGCAAGTGTGCAGTCATGAGTTCGATCCCTGGTACTGATAAAAAAAAAATATGGTAATAATAATTGAGGACTACCTAGTTGGCACATATCTTCCTAGCATTTTGTATGCATTGTACCTTTTAAGTCTCGGAATATCTCTGACATGTAGGTACTGATATCTACATCTCGGATAAATGGGCATCAGAGAAATTGAGTCAGTCGTCCAGGTGATGGGAGGCCTAATTTGGTTGCCCAGACTTACTCTGTGCCCACCTTGCTGTAGACCTCCCTTTTAGAATCCCCTAATTGAGATAGGTTTCCTGAAATGAGTCTACAGGAAAAACTTGAGAATGAAGGAGTGAAAATCGGAGGAACTGGGGAATGGTAAAGGTAGACTGCTTCAGGCGGAGGGCATACAATAGGCAGGGAAGAAAGGCTCTGGATGCTGCCAGGCTTCCTGAGTCTATAAGTGCACTTGGCTACAGAGAAGCCGTTGAGCAGGAATGAAGGGAAGACAGAAGGGCTGATTTGGTGGAGGGCCATGGAAGAACAAAATTAGACACTGGAGCTGCAGAATAGATGTGCTGAAACCACACTGAATCCAGTCTTGGGATGGAAGGGAATTGAATGCCATCTGCCTAATACATAAATTTGCTCTGCCTCTCTACAAGGTGGTGGTTCAGCCTCCTTGGATGTCCTTGGAAATGGAGAACTCATTAGATCCTCTCCACAGATGAGACCCAAATTTGCCTGCCAGTAACTTCTCAGTGGTCAGGAGTGACTTCTTGGGACCATTAACAAGTTTTTCATAGTTCCCACAGTACATACAGAATTATCCATACATCGACTGTTTTCTTCCAAGAGGATTCCTAGACACTGAGTTTACAAATGCTCCCTAATCACTGACGATCTTTGGTGCATTCCACAATCTACTGGCTTCCTTCCAGCTAACACTAATAGCTGATAATGGCCAATTTGGTCCACTCCGTGCCAGTAACTTTTATATGTATTACTTTCTATATTGTTGTTTCTACCCTATGGTAGAGGAAGCAAACTCAGAGAATTGTAATAACTTGCTTAGTATCACCCAGGCTATAGGCAGAGGAGTCAGGATTTGTGTACAGACAGCTGAGATGCAAAGGCAGTATCTTAGTGTACTGTGTACTGCTACAACACCGTTCCCGATACTAGGTAATTTATAGAACAGAAATTTTGATGGGCATGGTGCCACACGCCTATAATTCCAGTACTCTGGGAGATTGAGGTAGGAGGATCACAAGTTCCAGCTTAGCCTGGGCAACTTAGCAAGACTTTGCCTCAAAATAAAAAATAAAAAAGACTGGGGAGATGACTCAGCTGGAAGACTGTGAGTTTAATCTCCAGTACCACACACACAAAAAAAGAAATACATACATATAGATTTATTCTCTCACAGTCTGGAGGCTGGAAAACCCAAGATCAAGGTGCTAGCATCTGGTGGGGCTTCTTCCTGCACCCTCACATGGCACAAGGACAAGAGAAAGCAAA